GCAAAAAAAGTGTAAATGAAGAAAAATATAAGAGTGCTGCTGCAGCAGCAGCAAGCAGCAGCAGCAAACCAGGGCAGAGACTGCTGCCGGCTGCTGCTGCTGCAGCAGGGAGCTTCTCCCCGCTTTGATGAGAGCCAAAGGATAAAGTTTAGAGATACAGATAAAAAAAAGAATAAAAGCAAAAGTTTATTTATTTAAAAAACACACAACAATACACTGAGACGACAGAGAGAGAGAGGAGGCAGCAGCCAGCAGCAGCGAGACGCCGCGAGGGGGTTCAACCCCTGCTGCTGGGGGGGGGGGGGNGGGGGGGGGGGGGGGGGAGATGAAGGTTTATAATATGAAAAAAACAACAAAAAACTGAGAAAAACAATTTATATTATAAATATCTTTGTTTTCTTCTGCTTCTTTTGTTTCCTTCTGCTGCTGTGGGGCCCCTACAGCACCACCAAGAGCAGCTCGGCAACCGCACTGTAGCAGCACTTATACACCCCGGTGCACGCGTACACATGCGTTTATTTCAGTTGTTTAGGAGAATATTCTTTTAAATTTTATTTTAATTTTTATTTTTTTAACTAATTTTTAAATAATTTCCATACAAATGCTCTCATACAATATCCCCAGTGTACCCTGAGCACCTACCTGCCCATACACCCCAGCGCCCAGAGCACCGAGCACGCCCGTGCATCGCTGCTGCCACCCCCCTTCTTCTCTTGAGAAAAAGTTTTTTTTTTAATAAATTAATTAATAATAATAAATAAAATATATTAAATAGTTGAAATTCAACATTTATTATTTCAGTACACGAGAGACGCGCCCCACCGGGGGCCAGCAAGCCTCGACCCCTACTACCCTCACTTCTCCCCCTCATATTTTCTTATTTATTAAAAAAAGCTGCGTGGTGTATTTTGTGTTTATTTTATTTCTTTTATAAACACATACACCAGAAAGTTTACTGCATGTATCCACAGTAGTAGCAACGAAGATGTCGCTGTTTAGGGTTTAGTTGTACAGGGTACCCGCACCCCCATAGCAGCAAAGCGATGAAGCTGCGTGCTGTGTAATATTTTTTTTTTTTTTTTTTTTTTTTTTTTTTTTTTTTTTTTTTTTTTTTTTTTTTTTTTTTTTTTTTTTTTCTAATGCATCTAAAATTTATATACGGTTGTGGCGGCGAAGGTATTTCTGCTGCATATAAAGTGTACTTCGTGTTAGTATTTTTTCACATACAAAGAAAAGACAAGAGATGCAGTGTATATATACTGCATACATGTTCTGTTGCGACGATATATTGGTGTTTGTTAGGAGACAGCCATCTCTTCTAAGAAATTCAAACGCCCAGGATAAACCGTGGGCTCTATGAACTAACAATGAAGTCCGTGCTGCTCCATAAGAAGAAGCAAGAGATGTACTCTTTTGCCGAAGAAGATATGGCTGGCTCCTAATATATATATATATATATATATATATATATATATATATATATATATATATATATATATATATATATATATTTGTTTTAACAATGGTGTATGATGTAAGCGCATGCATCAAAAGGGGACGTTGCTATGATCTGATGCGGCATCACCGAGGCAGCAGGCTCAGCAGCAAGGGGAGCAGCAACTCGGCACAGGCCGCTCCCTCTCCGCCCCGGCTCCAGATGTTTCTGCTGTTGAGCGCGAGACGCCTGCGAGCTGCACGTGGGGTCAGCATTTGGGGGATATTTTTATCACAGGGGATTTGACTCCACTGCAGCTCGCAACAATCCTTGGCTATGATCGAGCTCTCTCGTAGCTCTCTCTTAGTAAAAGTATATGGTTAGGAGAGGAGCGAGAGATGTGAGAAATTCCCCTACAGCAGGCCATCTACGGAGAGGTTGTGGCTACAGAGATCTCAGAGCCCTCGGGGACTGGACCCCAACCTCATCAGTTGCAGCATGAGTTAGCAGAGGAGCCTTCACTTGGCCTTGGTGGGTTGTTTGTAAGCCAATGCAAACGTTCTAAAGCATATGCAGCAAAGGAAGCTTCGTTGAAGCTTTCTTCTCTGCATGCGTGAGGCTAGCTTGTATTACCACCCCCAGCGAGGTGCGCTCCAACCCCACATCAGGCTGCCTCTTCCCCGCAACAGCCAGGCCCTGAGCTCAACACCCAGCACGGCTGGGGACGGGGGGGAGGTCACCAGCTTTTCGGAAACTTTTGCTTTTTCTCTTTAGCTACATTGCAGCTCGCAGGTCGCGTCTGTCGTTGATTAGGGCCAGAGAGCAAACCGTATATCAGTGGATGCACAAAACAATTTTCAGCACCTGGGACACATGCTCTATATAATTTATTACTAGTGAACGACCTCTGTAAAAAAGTGGGGGAAATGTTCACATATTAACCAAAAAACTTTTATTGAAAGTGCAGGCATTTTCCCCTGTTACTTGATGGAGATGGATCGGGATCGAGCCTCCGACTGGAGAGCAAACAGAGGCTGAGCTCCTCTTCACGTGAGAGCCACCGCAGTCTCATCAGCCTATCCATCACCATAATTTTCTTGCTGCCACAAACGTTCACATAGTGTGCCCCCCAGTGTGTGGTGTCCGTTCAGGGATGACGTGCAGCGTGGGGGGGGGCGGTAGTGGAGGAGTTCTTTGCTGCTCTCAGGGTTTTCTTGCGTCTTTGAAATAAACATGAAGGGCTGCAGCTGATAGTGTCATCAGTTCTGTGGTAGTGTTGATGCGCTCAAGAAAAGTACCATACTTAGTACGGCGGCCCCACCATCCTTTTGTCTCTCGCTCTAAGACATTCCGGCAGCAGCCACGATGCAGCTCCACAGTCGGCAAGGGAGCAGGCTATGCAGAATTTAAAAAAAAACGGATCGCTTCCACCTTGTCGACTGCGGGCTTTATACCATCGGCTCCTATACTATATCCCAAGTAAGTAAGCTCCCGTTGTCCGAACTTGCATTTTGACAGCCGAGGGTAGAACTGGTGTTTTAGGAAAATGCCGAGGACTTGCTGTAGGTGTAGGACGTGAGATTCTAATGTCGAGCTGTATATAAGTACATCATCTAGATAAGCAATAACACCATGACCTAGTAATGGTTGAAAGTACGCGTCAATATTTGCCTGGAATGTGGCAGGTGCTCCTTTGAGACCGAAGGGCATTAACTTATATTCGAAGAGATTTTGTACTGATCGAAAGGCTGCCGTGCTCGTTGTGAAGNATTATGTATTCTTTATGGAGTGACCATTGGTATAGTTATAGGAGAGGGTGGCTTGTGCCTTTGTGCAAAAGCTATTTGCATCTGGCTACGCCGTCTCCTCTCCCAGCCCCAAAGGTCGCAGTGCCTGCTCTACTGGGGTGGAGAAACAACAATTTTGAAAGAGAGAAAGAATCAACTGAGATAATTTATTTACTTAACCTTTGTTAGCCTGATATATTTGTTCAGTATGATAGATATTG